GTAAAATTCGATATATTATTTTTTAATAGAGATATAAAATTATGAGTTTATACAATCACCATTTAATTGAGATTAGACCCCGATCAAACGCTTAATTCACAAGCTAAACTTGAGAAAAATAATTTACCAGTTGATTGAATAACAACAATAATAAAAGTGTGGGGTTCTTTCAATTTGATGAGTCAATTCAGTGTTGCGTACAAGATATGTTATATATTTGCAATGCGATGCTCATTGATTTAATTGTGATAATGATATTTTAAACCACCGACATACTGTAAATCATGATCGAGCGATGTTATCCACAAACGTAAATCGCATATCCAAATTCAATATGAGGGTTCAAACAGGAAAGATCATAATGATAACAAATAAGTGTCATTTTGATTCGATCGTAGCGGTGTCAAATCCAACCCTAAAAAAACAAATGAAAACAACCGAAAATGTTCTATATAGCAGAAAATATGTGCCAAAAAAGCATAATTATTAAGAAAAATATCAAGAAAAAAACAAAGATATGCTATAATAAAACAAATAAATAAATAAATAATAATGACGGTCGACAAACAAAACCAAGATTGATGCCAACGCCAATCACAAAATTAAAAAAGAAAAGAGACTAATGTGGTTATGATAATCTTTTAAATTGAATATTTGATCCCCCAATTAATATATGCATATATTAAATCGGATATTTATGTTGATTAATTAAAATGTCAACGTAACACGAACCAAATTCATTGATTTCTTCAAATGTTATATTAAAATTGTGCATCAATTTTGAGATTTTTTATACTTATATATTAATTTAAAATATAATTCATTGAATGAACTAGTTGTTAAATGAAGTGTTAATCGCCCTTGATATTATGAATTCAAGCAATTACATGATGTGTATGATGTATGTACACAGCTAATTATTAAAGTAATTATAAACGAAGACTACCTTATAATCACCTAGATTATTTAAAATAAAATAAAATTAAAAAACATACACAATTATATAATAAACTTGTATACATTATCAAAAGCATAAATTTATGTCAAGGAGATGCGAATTTTAAAAAATTGTATTAAAAAATTTAAAACATACAAAATTATAAAATTTTAACATGCGTGAAATTAGATAATCAATAAAAAATATAAAAATTTAAAATATAAAAAAATATCAAAATTTCTAAATATGCGACTGCATCCTAACATATTTCCATCCATCCATCCCTTCTTATATATTGATGGATAATAGTCTAGTGTTCGAAAGTCACTTTCGATAATGGTTTGCCAAAATGTGCGTGGAGTAGTTTAGTTGGACAAATTTATACAAGTTTCCAAAACCTATTGCATCCTATAAGAAACTTATTATTGTTGGATACTACATCAATACATGACAAGGCGTAATTATTGTTGATCATTCTAGAAATCTAGAACTAGATGTTGGGTAAATGTGAATTAAGGCACTACAATTTTCTTAAAAGAATATTTATACTTTAAATATATATAGTTTCATATATAAATATAATCATAATTTTTTAAAAATAATTATAAGTAAAATCAATTATTAGAATATATAATTAAATTAATATTTAAATATAAATAAAAACAAACTCAAATAAAAGTTGGAATGATAAATTGAAATCATAATAAATTTCACTATGATTCATACACTGATCACCTAATCATTTGTTGCACCTTAGAATAAGACCGGAGTATTGATTTGTGTGTTCACCTAAAGGTTCCCACCTTAAACTCAATTGTACCTATTTTCTCACGCCTAGGAAGTTTATCTAACTAAGGAAGCATTTCGAAATAATATTATCAAAAAGTAGTTATAAATATTAAATATAAATATGTAATATATTTTTGTCGGAATATTGTGAAGAGACAAACGTATTGTATAAATTTGAAGTAAGGCAATAATGGTTGGGTTGTTTTCACACAACAACCATACGCACTAAAACCGAAGCATCCATTTTGCAATTCCAAGGTGTCCAAAAACTGTGAAATGTAAAAGGCTCGGGGCCGATGACTTTTTCTTCTTTTTTCAGTTGTGCGCTGGTTTGTCAGTGGAACCTCATCTGAACTTCCACACATAATTAGGGTCAGCCAGTTCCCACAAGTGTGAACTGGTGTGAGAGTGACTGACACTGATTATTTTTTTAATCCTTTTGCCGTGGGACCTTACCCCACTAAACTGACAATTTTAATAGAAAACCACTTAAAAATAATTATTTACTAAATTAATATCCATCGATCATTATTTATTAATCTAATACCTATTTTGTCAATAAGAGCGCGATAAGTAGAAAACATATTTTCAGGCAAGTAAAAATGTTTTTTTTTTTATAAAAAAACGTCTTTTTGTATGCATGGCAAAATGAATTTTAATAAAACACACTTTTATTTTTTTTAAAAATAAAACTATAAGGAGCAAATACATAATTTAGTAAATTTTGGCTCCATGAGTTAGAAAGCAAATGAGGTTAGTTTATATATGAGTGAATGGAGTGCTAGCCTTTGTTTATTATAACAATGTGAGATTAAAGAATAAAATAATATTTCTTCTAACTTTTTTTTATCTCTATTTTATTTACGTTTACAATATATCATTGTAAATCCAATTATAAACAAAAAAAATTATATCTATAATTTAAGTTGAATCCTATATAACAAATATGAATTGTTACATTGACACAATAAATATAAAGAAAATTGACTTTTAATAAGAATAAATTTATTAAAATTTAAATTCATTAGATCACCTTTTTTTGAAATATTATTCTTAATACCTGAAAAACAAAAAAGAATAAATAATTATATTGTAATAATTTATTATTGAATATGAAAGATTATTATAGTTCAATATTTATACAAATTTTTTAATAAAAAATTGTTTCATAATTTATAAGATTAATTGTTTAATATTTTAGAATATTAAAATATTTATTTATTTTTAATATAAATGAGGCTAAAGTCGATAAATTACTTAAAATGTATTAAATCAAATAAAAAAAACTAAAGATTATATGAGAAAAAGGTAAAAATTTGATTTTAGCTTTTAATTTCACATTGTTAACAAACAAAACCTACACTCAATTTGTGCCTATATAACCTAACACTATTAGCATTTTTAATTTATGAAGCCAATATGTATCAAATTACATCTTTGGCTCCTATAATTCTTTTAATTTTTAAAAAATACATTTTATTAAATATGTTTTGCACGAGTACTGCCAAATCAACATAATATGTTTTCTGCATAATATGCTTTGTTATGTATACGTAAGGTGGTGCGTCTTGTAGAACACGTTATATCTAGATAGGTGACATTTTTATAAATACTAACAAATACTTTATTCAAATGGGTGGTAATTTTGTAAATAATAGTAAATGGAGTAGTATTTTAATAAATAATTTGTTTTATATGATTTTTGGGTAACATTTCAACTGAGCTTCATTCTCATTCATCTTTATAAAGTAATTCAGTCTCATCATTAGTTTCCAATTACGCCCTCATCCCCGCAACATACTTTGCAACTGTGGAGAAAAAAAAGTACAAATCACCAAAGATGGATAATTTTCAAAAATTGTCCACAGAAGATGTTGTAAGCTGATATTGAGTTTTTAATTTACTTAAAACCGATATAGTAGTATTATTACTTTTTTTATTAAGTAAACATGTATTATAGAGTTTTAAATTTCTTTTATTGGTAAGTAGTTAATTTTTTTTGTTGATCAGTGTCGGCACAAATTTTAATATTGGTGGTTAATTATTGGTATTTTTTAATGCCATTTTATTTTTTTATCTTTTATTTTCAGTAAGTCTGTATGTATGACACATTTTCATATCTTTATGAAACATTTTTTTGTCTTTTGACAAGTTTTTCGATTATTTGATCGTTGTTTTCACTTATCTTTTTTCTAAGGGTTGATTTGATATTGCCACGACTGATTAATATGACACTTATATGTTATACTATAGATCTTCCATGTTTTGGACCATCGAATTGGATTTGGATACCCGTTATACGTTTATGGATAACTTTTCACATAGTTTGAGTTTGATTTTCGGTTTGTCAATGGTATTTCAATAGTTTGATCTCATTTCGTGGTTTGTTTGCTGATGTGATTAGATTTGTTTATATCTATATTTGTTCGAGTTTTATTGGTTATATTTTAATCTTTCATTGTATGGTAGTTATGTGATATTAAATCACTAGTTTTGTTTCAATGATTATAGAAAATTGTCATAATAATGTGCTTAATTTACGATTATGATTTTAAATATTTATCATGATTTAAGATATTTACCACTTTGAATAAAATTAGTTATATATATATATATTATATTTTCAAGATAAATATTGATATATAAATTTATTTAACATAAATATTTCTGATCAATCGACTAATTAATGGATCTTAATATAATTATATTATATGTGAGAATCTTTGAATATATATTTTTAAACTAATATTTTTTTATTAATTTTATTAAATAAAGAAAATTATTTTAAAAAAGATAATAAATTAAATATATAAATTAAACATATTCAACACTATTTAAAATCTAGATACAAATTAATGACGATTCGTTCAAGTGATAAATAATTTGATGTCACTTAAGTATGTCACGTGTTTGAGATTTCTTGTGTATATAAAAAAAATTTGATGGGAGACTCACTTAGTAAAATTAGGCGTGCGACGTAAATCAGTCTAAATTATTCATGACGAAATCATGAAATTGAGAGGACAAAAATCTAGATATAGTTTGCATATGTATTGAGTAATTAATTCTATAAAAAAGTAAAAAAAATGTCGACCACAATTGTAAAAATCACTTCCACAATTGAGAACGAACTCAACGAGACCCGACCCAACAAATACCCGGACGAATCAAACCGAAAACGAGGGTGGCATCGTAAATACAGTGTATACATAAATCTCCTCAATCGAAATCGTGCCAGGAATTTAGTTTTCTTCCTTTTAAATTTAATTCCCCTTGGAAAGCGTAAAACCGGCAGCTGTATATTTGGCTCGAATGTATATATAGTTATACACCGTTTTTCCTTGGGCAAATGCAATCCTCCCGTTCAGTCCCTCACAGCCTCACTCGGCTTAACGACTTCAGTTCTTTTCCCTTTTATATTTATATATATTTTGCTCTCACTCAGACCAGCAAAGCTGCAGCAGAAGGCTTTCTGCAGTTAAACAGAATGGACTCCTCTCGCCGGAGATCAGCGCTTCCTTCTGGATTTCTTTCATTCGTTTCCTTGTTTCAGGTAAGTGTTTCCGTCGCTTTCATCCTCTGCTTCCATTGTTCGGATTTTACTTTTCTTTTTATGTTTAATTCTGGCTTCTCTAGTCGTTTACTTTTTGTTTCGAAGGAAAAACATGTGTCGTTTTGAGCCTTATTTACGCTTGAACTCCGTGAGATCTACAATATCTGATCATGTTCTTATTTTTTTTGTCAAAGCTTGTCAAATGCTTTGCTTGATCAACTTCCTTTTTTTCTCCATTTTTTAAAAATGAAATCGAGGCTTGAAATGTAGAATTCAAGTTATATTTTGTTTGCTCTGTTTCTAATTCTTGAAAGTTTGTTTTGGTCAATCTTTCATAGAAACTGATTTTTTTTCTTCAAAATAGCATTTAATTCTTGGCCTAAGAAGTTGTGCAGTTTCATATTTTGGTTCTGACTTTTCATTTGAGCGGAAGATTTTGTTAAAATAGGAAAAAAAGAGATTACAATTAAATTGTCCTTGTTCATTTTAGCTGAATCTGCAGTTTTGTTTTGTCTGTGCAGGTTTTATTGATTATACAAGTGGCCGTTTCGCAGCCGAGCAATAATGAACTAAGGTATGACTTATTCCTGCTTATCTCTGCCAACTTTGCTACAAAACACAAAAACAATAAATTTCAGTGCAGCTCAAATTTATTGTTCTGAGCTGTCATTTTGAAGCGAGCTAGGTATATACGTTTTTGGTGCTTTTATTTTTTTCCCTGTAAATAATAGCTCCAACAATTATTGGTTAAATTTGCGCTTTCTGAAAATCTATACAGTAATTGATGACAATTGCTAATTTATTTCAACTTGATTGAAAATTTTGATTGGTAAATTATTATTAATTGTTTCCCCCCTCTTGTTTGTGTTTGTTATGTCTAGGCAGAGACATGCTGAAGGATATTGTGCAATGTATGACATTTGCGGAGCACGAAGTGATGGCAAAGTAGTAAACTGTGCTTCTGGTTCTCCTGCAGTAAAGGTAAGTTACTGATAACTGTCTCACATAAATTTTGTACTAATTCAGGTCCTGACAGTCTCGTATGATATGAACTATATTCCTCGAGCCAATTTGCACAAATTCCTTTTTATTTTTTATTCTGAATAGATTTGGGAAAAAACTGTTACAAACTATAACTCTAATTATTTGACGTTTATATCTTATTATGCTTCTCAGCCTGATGAGTTACTTTCGTCCAAGATTCAAAGTTTGTGCCCAACAATCACCGGAAATGTTTGTTGTACAGAAGCTCAATTTGATACACTACGGAGTCAAGTCCAGCAAGTAAGATTTATTGTTCAGCTTTACTGTTTTTGTTATGATAGCTTGAATTATTAGAGAACGTGAATGATTACTGCTTTGCTTATGTGGCTTTTGATGTTATTAGATTGTTATTTTGCACGACGCACTTTTTTACTTATAATTGCATTTATTCCTGCTTGTCCTTCTAGTTCTATCAGAAGTATAATATTTGTTTCTTACCTGAAAGCTTCAATTATTTTAAGTGATGAATTTCATTCGAACATCATGGATTTTATGCCGGCTTTGATCAATTGGAGTTAGTTGACTGCATGCTCCTAAATTTCATCTCTTCATAACATGATATATTTAATTTATACATTACTGCAGGCAATTCCTTTCCTTGTAGGCTGTCCAGCATGCTTGAGAAACTTTTTGAATCTGTTCTGTGAGCTCTCATGCTCTCCAAATCAAAGTTTGTTCATCAATGTGACTTCTGTGTCTCAGGTCAGGAATCTCTGATCATGTTATAAGACAACTTGATATTTTTTTTATATGATCATGAAATTGTGTCTCCCTTATAAAAGCTTGGAAATATTATTGACCAATATGAACTTGGGAATGATATCTTCAATCACATTGTTGTTTCAAACGCTATTTTATGGGTGGAAATCTGAATTAACCACTAACATACACAATGTCTTATGTATGCTTCTTTGGACAGATGGTCCTGCACTTCTTTCGGGGGCACAAATTTTTATATCAAAGATGATAAATTATTTGATATTTCTCTTTTCAGGTCAGAAATAATTTGACTGTGGATGGAATTGACTTTTACATAACTGATGATTTTGGTGAGGGTTTGTATGAATCTTGCAAGGACGTCAAGTTTGGTACCATGAATACTCGTGCTATGGAATTTATTGGTGCTGGTGCTAAAAATTTCAAAGGTGAAGTGCTAGTTATAAGTTTTTTATTTCAGGACTTGTGCATCATGTCTCAATCTCATCATCTGACTGATTGGTTCTGGCAGAGTGGTTTGCTTTCATTGGTAGGCGAGCACCGAATAACTTGCCAGGTTCACCATATGCCATTCAATTCCTGCCAACTGTTCCTGATTCATCTGGGATGAAACCTATGAATGTATCCACTTATTCATGTGGAGATGTTTCACTGGGCTGTTCTTGTGGTGATTGCGCTTCATCTCCTGTCTGTTCTAATACAGCTATATCTACTTCCAATAATGGGGCTAAATGTTCAGTTCGAATTGGATCTCTTAAGGTGAGATTTTTTTTTGTTTTATTTCATTTTTTAAAATCCTTTGTAACGAATGAGAATTCTCTAATTCATATGAGAGCACAGTTGGTTTCCTAATTTGTGCCACAATACATGTTTTTCTAATTTATTATAATCATTGAAAATCTGCAGGCCAAATGTGTCGATTTAGCTTTAGCAATCCTCTATGTTGTATTGGTTTCTGTGTTTTTCGGATGGGGCTTGTTCCATCAGACAAGAAAAAGAAGTCGATCTTTTCGAATGAAACCATTTTTGGATACAACAGATGGTGGTCAATCTGATTCTCTTAATAGGCAAAAAGCAGAGAACCTCCCCATGCAGGTGCCTTTTTTTTTTTAAACTTTGTGCTTGTTTTCTTTGATCTCATTCTATTCCACACTTGATATTTTAGTTTAGTTTATTGCATTCACATCTGCCTTAAATCTTTACGAAATTGTAATTATTATTTGACAACCTTTCTATTTTGTACCATTCTTCTTCTTCTTTGTGCTTCATGTTTGATATTAGAGGCTAGAAGATGCCAATCAAATTAGCACTGCGGTTCGACTTTCTGTCGTGCAAGGATACATGTCAAACTTTTACAGGTTAACTTTCTATGTATAATGGCTTACATCAGTTGAGCAATGATTAAGTCTCGTATCCTGTCCTAAACTACTTATCTTCAGGAAATATGGACTATGGGTTGCTAGACATCCAACCCTTGTATTGAGTTTGTCCGTGGGAATGGTTCTTCTACTTTGCTTGGGCCTAGTCCGTTTCAAGGTGGAAACACGACCAGAGAAGGTAATACTTGACTGCTGAATAGCTAGATGCATCTTTATATAAACTGAACCATCAATCATTTCTGTTTCCATTCAAAGAGGTTAGTAATTATGATTACTTTGGTACAAAATTCATCCTCAGGATTCACTATGTGTAATAATTTCAAATATATCGAGTAAAACATCCTAACTTCCATGGTTGATCCAGCGACAATAATCCCAGGCTTCTGTTTACTTGCATGAGATATAAGTTAAATGATCTGTTTCATTATGATTAGATGCATTCTCCAGCTAATCTGTAGAAACTGACACCTGAGACACTGGCATGCTTGCAAGCCATGTTCTATATTGATTCCCTTAATGATGTTTTTGCATTGTTTCTGTTCTATGCTCAAATATAGTGTCTGCTTTGTTGTTTTGAATGGATGTATACAATCAGTTGTCAAGCATTTTGAGATCAGCGAATTGATTTTGATAAACTTCTGCTTACATGCATCTTTCCATACATTTTCTATTATCTGAATATCTGTTACCAAAACAATGTCAGCTATGGGTAGGACCTGGGAGTAAAGCTGCAGAAGAGAAACGGTTTTTTGACAGCAACCTATCTCCTTTTTACAGAATTGAGCAGGTTTCCCCCTGTTTTATACTATTTTCCCCCTTCTTTGCCATTTTATACGGTTCCCCTATTGTTTGTTGCTGCTGGTCAAGTGGGTAAAATTAATAGAATGATTCTGAGGCCAATATATTCTAAGTAATATTTTCTTGTTATATGGCATACCTTAGCAATTTTCAATATATTATATTTTCACATCCTTTCCTGGAGTAAAATATTCTTGCTAATTCTTTTTCTGGGTATATATATCCTTTAGGGTGCTACCATTAGTCGGCAATATAATTTCCATATTTGTGTAATTCCTGCAAATCTTTTCATCTCTCTTTTTCCTTTTTATTTAAATAAACTTTATTTATATAATTCTCTTCCTCATAGAAACTTTTTTTTCTCGCGTTCTTTTCTTGTTTTCTCTAATGATATATTATCTAAGAACCATTAGTTTAAATTCCTCTTCATTGGATTGATCAACGTGCAATATAATTTCCTATTTAATAGCCCTCATTTCACAAATTTTAAATCTTTTCCTATTTATTTAAATCAACTTTGACTATTTAATTCTCTTCCTCATGGAATCATTTTCTCACATTCTTTAGTTTTCTTCTCTAATGAGATATTATATGAGAACCACTGGTTTAAATCTATTTATTGGATTGAGCATTGTTTTTTGTTTTTATAGTGCACGCATCTTCTCGTATTACTTAGGAATAACAATGTTTCCTATGTTTTTCAGCTAATACTAGCAACAATTCCAGATCCCTTGGATGGTAAATCGCCCAGCATTGTGACCGAAGAAAACATTAAGTTGTTATTTGAAATTCAGAAGAAGGTATTGGTTCTACTTTAATTTATCAGGCTGGATTAACATTACACAGTGTGATTGGATTTGTTATGGTTTGTGCATTTAGATTCTCTTAGAATGGTCTTGAACAATTGTAGTTTACTTAACAGGTTGATGGAATCCGGGGAAATTATTCTGGCTCAAGGATATCTTTGACAGATATTTGCATGAAGCCGATGGGTGAGGATTGTGCCACACAAAGTGTTATACAGGTAGCATGCTTGTGTCTGCACATGAATGAAGAATATGGAATCATAAATTTTCAATTGAAATGTAAATGCGTGGAAGTGGAACTGATGAATTGTTTATCACCATTTACTGTTCAATCTCAGCAGAAAAGCAATGGTCTTCATATTTCTTCATATACACTTTAGTTGCTTCTTTTACAAGCATGGTTTAGTATTGAAAACAATTTGATGTGATATCTTTGTAGGTTACTATTTATGATCATTGTCGTAAGTTCCATTGTGTTTTATATTTGACCAGACTAATCGAATTTCTAGAGCACCTTACAAGTTCTTCGTTATAATCCTTTTTCTTTACTATTTTATTTAACTATGTTTCTCTTGATAGTATTTCAAAATGGATCCAAGTTATGATGCTGATGATCGACTGGATCATGTCAACTATTGTTTTCAGGTATATCCTAATACCTCTTTGTTTATTTGGTTAAAAGGTAATCGCCTTCTTCACATTTCTACTTATTGACCAACCTTTGTTCTAAGGCATGTTCAAGTTATAGATCTTGACAATAAAGTTAAATTATTGATTCTTTTCTTGTTTTTTCCTCACATTTCTCTTTTTCACTATCTTCTTGTCACCTGAGTTGACCTTTAATGTTTCAAGTTGTGCATTCTTTCAGCATTATACCTCTGCAGAATCATGTATGAGTGCTTTTAAAGCACCAGTTGATCCTAGCACCGTATTAGGAGGTTTCTCTGGGAGCAACTATACTGAGGTATTAATTTTACTTTTCTGAGCTTCCAATGCAGTCAGATCTTTGAATGTATGATCTTTATCATATAAATATCTAGTTGGATGTTGTAACGTAAAATGATATTTATCATACAGGCTTCTGCATTTATAGTAACTTATCCGGTAGACAATGCTCTTGACAAAGAAGGGAATGCAACTCAAAAGGCTGTGGCTTGGGAGAAGGCCTTTGTTCAGTTAGCAAAGGTGTGGTACAAGTACTTGCATCATATCATTGTGTTTATTGTCTTTGCAATTGCCTTGTCTTGGCCTTTCTTGGATCTGTGATACCATGTTATGGAACAGGATGAGTTGTTGCCTATGGTGCAATCTAAAAATTTGACATTTTCGTTTTCTTCGGAAAGCTCCATCGAGGAGGAGTTGAAAAGAGAAAGCACTGCAGATGCCATAACCATATTGGTAGGTGTTTTTCTTTATTATGGCTTGAAAACATGACACTTGAGTCCTTTTAGAAGCCTAACCTTTGTAATTAATGGAATTCCTAAGAGGCCTTCCAGCACGCTTCTTTTAAATAAAATCATTAATCTTGTAAATATGATTTTTTTGTTTTAATTTTCTCAGACTGCTTTCTTTTTCCTTCCACCATATTTTATCGCAGATAAGCTATCTTGTGATGTTTGCTTACATATCTCTGACCTTGGGTGATACGCCTCGATTATCTTCCTTTTACATTTCATCTAAGGTATCTTGTTCATGATTCTTCTTTCCAGATAATAATATTTTGTTTCAAATTATTATTACTCTACCTTCTATTCTCCTTTTGGGTTTGATTTCTCGGATACTCACCTAGTAGCTTAAGCTTTTCTGTTGAGAGGTTCTGTAACATTGTTATTGAAATTTATCTGATCAAGTGCTTCGGAATTCAAGCCTTTGCATATTTAACTTAACAAGGTTAATAGTCATAAATTCAAGCCCTTAATTAGTTTTGCTTTTAGCAATAGGGACTTTATGTCTAGTGGACTAACATCTTGATGCATCTCAGAAAGAAAGGACAAAGCAAATGATACATATTGGTTATCCTATTAGAAATCCAACCATTTGTATGACTTCTCCTGGACCACTTTTATATGCTATTAACAATTTGCTGAAACTTAGTTAAATGACCTTTTTACCAAAACAAAGTGTACCTTATTCATGCTTTCAGGTATCTATATCTAATAAATGAGAGCTTCTCTTGGTTTTGAAAATTTCCATGTTATGCTCTATTGGATGACTTGGGTTATGCTTGGATGGAGCTATAAATAAATGTCCCTTGAATTCTTGGACTGCCATAGATAGGTTAACAAGATAACAAAAGTTACCTGTTAGGGTTGGACGAATGTCTGAAACATTTTCCATTGCTTATCTTCTATGATGGGTACTGTATGATTGATTAAATTCCAGGTGTTGCTTGGCCTTTCTGGTGTTGTGCTTGTCATGCTCTCAGTTCTTGGATCAGTAGGATTTTTCAGTGCTGTTGGAGTAAAATCTACCCTAATCATTATGGAAGTTATTCCTTTTCTTGTTCTTGCAGTAAGTGCCCTGCTCCTTTAGCATATTTCAAATTCATATGATGTTTCTAAGTTCGAAACTATCAAGTGCTTGACTTGGAGGATGTATATTACAATTACATCAAGCATTTTGTCTGTCAAGTTCCATCTCTCCATTGCCAAGTTCTGTTGTGGCTTGCCTTCTGAACTCTTTATCCTGTAACAGGTTGGAGTGGACAATATGTGCATACTGGTGCATGCTGTTAAGCGGCAACCTTTGGACTTACCTCTAGAAGGAAGAATAAGCAACGCACTTGTGGAAGTGGGACCATCGATAACACTTGCTAGTCTATCTGAGGTTTTTGTGTTTGCAGTTGGAAGTTTCATTCCTATGCCAGCGTGTCGAGTATTTTCCATGTTTGCAGGTCTATACATGCTACTGTGTACATTTTATAAGTAATATACATTGAAACAGTTTTTTTCTTCTTTTATGCCAATTATGCCACTCCCCTCACATCCATGCTTTCTGTTGCAGCACTGGCCGTTTTGTTGGACTTCCTTCTGCAGGTCACTGCTTTTGTTTCTCTGATAGTGTTTGACTTTTTGCGAGCCGAGGGTAGAAGGGTTGATTGTTTTCCATGTATAAAAGCATCATCGACATATGCTGAATCCGAGAAAGGTATAGCCGGTGTTGTATATGATTGATGAATCATGTAATTGATTTGATATCTTGATTCTTTGAACATACATTAGAATATAACTAGTTTTATTAGTTATTTATTACTTTGAACCCTTTCTTACTCATCATGAAGCTGTCATGAAGGCTTACTAGATATTTTTTTTATGAAACTTCAGGCATTGGTGGGAGAAAACCTGGGCTATTGCTTGGTATATGAAGGTAATTGTGTCTACTTTAGAACTTAAGTAACAATGTGATTGTACTTCTTCTCAAAACAAGCTTCATTTTTTTGCTTCTCAGTTTGTTTCTGTTTTCACTTTCAGGTGGTACATGCTCCCATTCTCAGTCTTTGGGGAGTGAAAATTTTAGTCGTTTCTGTTTTTGTTGCCTTTTCATTGGCTAGCATTGTAAGTTGCTTTAACTTTTTCAAAGATCTATTTTATTCTTTTAGCTTATGACTTGAAGTAAACTTCTTATGCTTGGAAATTTTTGTAGGCATTGTCCACACGAATCGAGCCTGGTTTGGAACAAAAGATAGTTCTTCCCCAAGACTCATATCTTCAGGTTCAGTTTTTTTGTTTCCTTTTTCCTGAATGGAGAAATGAATCACATGATATCCATTCTTATCCTTGAGTTATTGCTGCATTCTATTTTGCAGGGCTATTTCAATAATGTTTCAGAGTATCTCAGAATTGGGCCGCCACTGTATTTTGTCGTGAAGAACTATAATTATAGGTATTTCCATTTTATTTCTAGTTTCTTTTTCTTCAGTTTACTACATGGTACCTGCTTCTGTGTTTTAAAGGATGATTACCTGGTCCAAAGTATGAAGAGACATATTGGTTGTTTTTCATTCTTGGAGCATCAACTATGAACATGATGAACCTTGCATATGGAAAATTTTTAATACCATAAATGACAGAGCATAGTATTGTCTCTTCTAAAGGCTTATGAATTTCCTGTCTAAAATATATCAGGAATTATTATAAACACCTGAAGAAGACCATGATGCAATTTACTTTCTTTTGATATTATAAAGGAAACTACTAATGGCAGAAAACTGTGATTTTAGGCCGATTCTATTAGAGCTCCATGTGAATATTCTTCTATGCATTTTCCATAACAGGTGTTAAACTCTTATCATTTAAGAAGTGCTTGCTTTCTGATAAGTATGTCAAGCTTCATTGCTTATCAAGGAAAAAAGATGGAATTATCAAATTTTCATCTAATTGGTTTATAGTTGAATAGTTGATAAATATCCTTTTCGTGCTGACGTTTTTCTATCCTCAGTTCAGAATCAATAGATACGAATAAATTGTGCTCCATCAGCCAATGTAACTCAGACTCTCTTTTAAATGAGGTAAAATCGTTTAGTAGATTGTATCTCTTGAGTGTTCATTCATGATATTAGGTTTATCTTAGTAAACCATTCTCTTCTATTTAGTTGAAGCATGTTTATGTTTTTAAGATGGCATATCTAAAAACCTTTGCCTAGTGTTGTTTCCGTTTCATTTGATTTGACAGCCTTATCTTATTGCCTCTCCAGATAGCTAGAGCATCCTTGACACCAGAATCAAGCTATATTGCTAAGCCAGCTGCTTCATGGCTTGATGATTTTCTTGTATGGGTATCTCCGGAAGCATTCGGTTGCTGTCGGAAATTTACTAATGGGAGTTATTGTCCCCCTGATGATCAGGTTATGATCCTATTATTCTTTGTACTTATTGTTAGATTTAATGCAATCCTATGATATGCCTGGAGTTTTTCTCTTTCCAATAATAATGTATCCTGACTTCATCTGCTGGGCCTCATGTATTTTGCTTATGCAAAGAAGTTCACTTGAACTTAGGTATCAAACCTCATTTGGTTCTATAATTCTGTATCTAATTTCAAGACTGGAGTTTTGATAGCTTTACAGGTAAGCATTTTTTGGTAGTGGTGGCACCATTTTTTAGTGAAATAACCAGATATCTCTATTTTCCTGTTCGAACTTAGCTATGCTTAGCAGTTTTCATTTCTAAGAAGATATCAATAAGTTCAATGTAATGTTTCTCGTATCACGCCAGAATTAGGTTTTCCAAACTGGGTTTATGGTAATTGGATACATTTGAGTTCACTGAAATTAAATTTTCTTTCTTCCAGCCTCCTTGTTGCTCTGCCAATGACTCTACTTGTGGGTTGAGTGAAGTATGCAAAGACTGCACCACGGTAATAGACAACCCTTATATTCTGCCTGATTTTTTTTGGGGGTATTACAGTAGTATCTTCTCAACAACATGAAATGAAGCAGTTATTGTGACTAACAATTATGGGATGTTTCAGTGTTTCCGTCACTCAGATTTACATAATGATCGACCCTCTACGGCTCAGTTTAAGGAGAAACTTCCATGGTTCCTTGATGCTTTACCTTCTGCTGATTGTTCAAAAGGTGGACATGGAGCTTACACTAGCAGTGTGGAACTTCAAGGTTTGTTGGAACAAGTTTTCCATTCACAACCACACCAATTTACCATTTGTTGACAATTTTCACTTACCTTTTGGACTTTGAGATAGAATCCTTAAATAATATGTATTCAAATTTAAATTTGGTAATGACCAGTTTTATATTTTATCAGGATATGAAAATGGTATTATTAAGGCATCATCATTCCGCACCTACCATACACCCCTCAATAAGCAGGTAGAAGTAATAGTCAGTGCAGCAATTTTTGTTAATTATTTTCTCTCTCATTTCTTACAGCAGCATTAATTGTCTTTCAATTGTTTTAGATTGATTATGTTAACTCAATGAGGGCTGCTCGACAATTTGCTTCAAGGGTTTCAGATTCTTTAAAGGTAAGATATCAATCGTAATTGCCCGGTAGAAAACCTATTTTAATTGTTTTTCTTAAATGATTCGGTTCATATATTTGTACTTCGGTAGAAAACCTATTTTTCCCTACGTAATTGGGTATCCTTATGTAGCTCTTCTTTTGCGTGGTACAATTGTTACTCATTATACGACTTTATGGTCCTCATTAATTCTCCTACACCAGCATTTCATGGGAACTTATTTAAGTTCTCATGCAAGCAGTCTATTGTTCGTAATATATTTGCAAATTTAGATGCATGCTAGTGTTGCGATGATATGCGTTTGTTAACTGACATTTTCTGGTGCAGATGGAAATCTTCCCATATTCCGTGTTTTATATGTTCTTTGAGCAATACCTTGATATATGGAAGACAGCTCTCATCAACCTTGCAATTGCAATTGGTTAGTAATTTGCAGAAACCTGCTCAAGTGTCGTAAATTAGTACACACATTTTCCCAGAAATTATTTATTTTTAAGGCATTTCTGGTACACATTAACAATTCAAAAGTGTTATTTAATTTTGATCTGCGTCTTTTGTAACTGAATTTTACATTTGTATTTGACTGGTATTTAGCAGGCATTATTACAATGGATTGTAATTTTGTAGTAATTTCTAACACTCGATTGTATTTTCTTATGTTTGATTGCCTTCAGGTGCGGTATTTATTGTTTGTTTAGTTATTACATGCAGGTTAGCTTCCTAATTTTGTCCCTCCATTTAAAGTCTTTAACGATCGGGTTTACCTATATAATTACTAATCTCTATGACATTCTCCCCCCAAATATAGTTTGTGGACCTCAGCGATCATCATGCTGGTGTTGGCAATGATTCTCGTTGATCTTATGGTAATCTATTCTCTGACCGTCACCTTAATACTTCTTTCGTTTGAACTGGTTTTACTTCGGTTTTCTATTTGCACATGTTATACCCTCTTACAAAGTTAAACTGTTCAGGGTGTGATGGCTATTCTCGGAATTCAACTCAATGCGGTCTCGGTTGTTAATCTTGTTATGTCAGTTGGCATTGCAGTTGAGTTCTGCGTGCATATAACACATGCGTTTTCGGTTAGTATCGATCAGCTTTCAGTTCAATCATATGGTTTATCCACCCCCATTTGCTGTGTGGATATTTACCATATTCATCATTTTGCTGATATAAAATTACAAGTTCCTTGTGCAGGTAAGCAGCGGGAATAGAGATGAAAGGGTAAAGGAAGCTCTGGGTACGATGGGAGCTTCTGTCTTCAGGTTTGTTTCCTTCTCTTATAAGCACACCATCCACCGCACTCCTTTCCATCTTTTTACGCCGGGAGTGTGATAAATGAAGAAAGAAACACCATGTTTGAGCCATCTATTCTTGCTTTACCGTTGTTATCCAATGTAATTATTTGCAGTGGAATCACTTTGACAAAGCTAGTAGGGGTGCTGGTTCTTTGCTTCTCAAAGACGGAAGTTTTTGTGGTACCAATTCCTTTACTGACCTTTTTAATCATGGGACCATTCATTTTGTCCTGTAGATTTTTAACCCTTTACCCTCATCGGTTTTGTAGGTCTATTACTTCCAGATGTACCTAGCGTTGGTCCTTCTAGGTTTCTTACACGGGCTTGTATTTTTGCCGGTGAGTCCGTTTTTTCCGTTATGTAGAAAGGCTAGAACCAGGTAAGTTTAGTTTCCAAAGCGAAAGGCACTAACCAAGTGTTCTCATTCAGGTGGTGTTGAGCATGTTTGGTCCACCGTCTAGATGTATAAAAATCGAGAAACAAGACGAGCGGCCGTCGGTTTCATCACAGCCTTAATGCGATAATCTTTGACACGAATTACCACTTTTGTCGAGATTTTACAAATCTATTTGTGCCTGATATAGAAACTGCATGTACCGCCAGAGCAAAGGATTAAAGACAACAGAAAAAATTAAGAAGAAAAAACTGTTCACCCCATCCCATCACAACATGTAAAGCTTTGTTTAAAGCAAGGAGGAACAAAGTAATAGGAAAATCATATATTGGCTGCTGCTGTTGTCAATATTTTAAGGTAGCTGATTCATGTAACCTAAAAAGTTAAAATTACTTGGATAGAATGATGGTAGTAGTTGTTGTAGTCTTTGAATTTTTCTGTCAGAAGCTGAACGAGTGTTTGCGTATTCTCATTTGCCCTTGCCCACTCCCATCCTGTGTATAATCTTTATATGACTTTTCTTCCCCAAATTTCGTTATTCCTATTTGCTAGGTCTGTAGCCCATACTTTTTCTCTCTCTTATGGAAGATAAAGAAAGTAACGTTTTGGTGAAACACTTTTACTGAGCGTTTGCTATTTGAAAGTTGCTCATGAACGTGGAATTTTATATAAAAATTACCATCACATTAAGATCTAATGTTTTTTAGATTCGAATTAGACATGATATAAAAAGAAGATAAAAGATCTACTTTTACTATGTGCTTGTTGGAATAAACTTAATTTTACGAAAGAGTAAGGGCAAAAAGCTGATAGAACGATATGATTAAATGTGTGTGAAATTATAGAAGTATATCAACCTTTTTTTTTGGTTGAGAAAGGTACAAAATTCGCCTATCTACCCGTTTTGTCTACAATAAGTAGCTCCTCAACTTCCTTAGGGTAATCTTCAAACAAATTGGTATCTTCATGGTGATTCCCCATCTGTTTGGCGATGAAATCAGCGACACGATTGGCCTCCCTAGGTATGTAATCCAGATCAACTACCCAATTTCTCCTTGTAGACACCGTATTTCTCCCTTATTATATAATGCATATATTATATAATATGTATATATTAATTACATTTTTTCCTTCTTTTTACAAGCCTAGACATGGGCCCAAAATCATTACACCTAGCCCATTTACAAGACCAAGTGGCCCAGTAAATGAACCTGTGAACCCATCCAGCGCTATTTTCCTCTTCAGCAAGGACTCCCCCACGATCGCACGCTTCTCCTCCGCTTTTCACGCAACACACCACCATTCTCGGATCCTCCGGCGCAAGGAGAGCACGACAACGACCCATTACCAACAAAAAACAAATCAAGTGTTTTAATTCGTATATGATTCTAAAAATAGCCGATAGCTTTGGCTATAAAATCATGTACATCGAACAGAGGGGGAGATACACAAGCAAAAAAATCTACTATTGCACACTAGAGACTTACATGAAAAATACGGGAACACACGAATCATACACCCGAGTTTACACGAAATGGACTACGATTAGGCACAGGAAAATCATGAAAAAAGGGGGAAATACCTGAATCAGAATCGACGGGGAAGGTTTCACGGCCAACCGGTGTTGTCCAGCCGCAATCCAAGTCAACTGTGCTTTCCCGGAGAAGATACGCCTTACCATGGCCACGAATAACCGAGCACAGTAGCGTAAGAGATAGGTTGGCTAGCCGAAGCTCGCAGGTTTGATGATAACCCGCTCTAACGACGGTGGCTGCGAATGGGGTGCGAAGGGTTCATGAGGAATGGCTCGCGAACTTACCTTGATGATGAATGACGGCGCGACGTTGCAAAAACTCCACGAACGGCGTTGCTATGGTCTGAAGCGAGAAGGCCGAAAGAAGAGGAAGAATGAATCAAATCTGCATTTGGTTTCACTATTATTGGAGAAAAAGGTCACGTGTAATCCATTGTTTTTGGAATTTTCAAGCAAATTATTATCTTGGCCCTTCAAGGTTCTGACTTATTCCATTGTGACCCTTCTTTTTTTGCATGAAAAATTATTTTAATCATTCTAGTTTACCCCCTAACTTTTTATTTTTAATTTTGCAGTTCATTTCTAATACTAATTTAACCCATTAAGTTTAATTTGTTTTAATTTGATCCTTTACGTTTTTTATTTTATTATTTTTAATTTTTTTTCTTATTCATATTTTTCTTTATTTTGTTGCTTTTGAAATTTAACTTTTTTAAAACATTTTTAATTATTATTATTTTTTTGTGTTCTTTGATTTTTTTATTCTATTTTTATTTACTTTCCTTTGACTTTTTTTCATTTTTCTTATTATTTATTTAATTTTTATTTAATTTTTTTATTTTTTTTTTCTTTTCCTCTTGATTTATTATTTATTTATTTTATATATATTTTTAAACATTTATTTATTTATTTATTTTTTGTCTAACGTTTCTATCTTTTAAAGGTCTTCATTTAAACCAATCAAAGGTAAACAATTCGAATCGAATACTTTTAAATTTTAATTTTCGCAAATAAATACAACTGACAAATTAATTGGTACCGAAAGGGCGGTTCAAGGGTGCTAGTCCTTCCTTGACTGTAACCGACTCCCGAGCCCGACACGTTTCTGGTAAAACACAGATCAGATAAGATGGTGTCCGATCAACCTGAAACTTATTTTTAAATGATCGGTGGCGACTCTAACCCAATCCACATTTTTCAAGTCGAAGCCCGATTCTGGGTTTAACCGAAAGACGTTTACGATAGCTTGGCGACTCTGCTGGGGACAGGTAAGTGAGTTAGGCCAGAATTAATTTTCGGTTGCCTTTTTGAGTGAAAATTGAAAATTTAAATTTATTTATTCGATTGTAATTATTTACCTTTGATCATTTTTCAAATAAATAGTTGTACTAACATTTTGTTCAATGATTTCAGATTTTTGAAAATTTTCTATCTCTGGCTCTATACCCGAACTCTGAACCCTATTTTAAGTGGGGGTGAAAGCAACGCCTTCGTGTGAATTTATTCACCGTGCGGGCCTAGCAAGTAGCCTTCGGGATTCATATACCTTATGTCTTCGTGTGAATTTATTCACCGTGCGGGCATAAGAGAATGTTTCCCCTCGAGTTTAACTTAGTCCACACAAACTTGTGATGGGCTTAGGACTAAGGGTCTGGCAAGCTCAAGGGGGCACCGGCAAGGAGAACTCGGGTACCGTTTTAGAACCTAAACCGAGAGATTATAGAGAATTAGAGCCCACCCCAAAACCTCATTTCAAACCCTAGGATGCTAGAATTATTTCCTGTTTTACTTTCTGTTCAAAGCATGCGAACTAGACAAATATGCAGTTAGGATTTGTTTAAAATTAGCATGTGGGATAGAGATCATGTCCGAGTAGGAATGATAAGCATGTGGGGTAAGACTTTTTATTTTCATGATTATTTTGATTATTATATTTACCTCACTACCTCTTGTCATTTTTGTTATCTTTTATTTTATTTTTCATCTTTTGCATCATTCATTCAAAAAGAGGTGTTGATCCAAAAAAAATGTGTTCGTTAAACATAAATAATTTGCATTAATGGACAAAGGGGACGTAATACAAGAGATAAAAAACGCAGAGGCCCGACTATAGTCATAAAAGACTCAGAAGGAAAATGGAGACACTCTGCAAGGCAGTTATGTCACGTTCGATCGTTCGATCAAGAATACATGGTGCCCATAATCAAAGGTTATGTCACTTGCTGCATTGTGAATGACTCAGAATAGACCGAGATTTACGCCAAGCACATCAAAAGTCCACTTTTCGAAAATGGTTTGGCAAAGGTTGCAGGGGCAAGACAAGAAAAAGGTTGTTAACCTGAAGAGTCCCTTCAAAGATAACAATGTAACCCCCTAGACCCGGTCTGTGAGTTAGACCCAAACCTAAGTGGTCACATATCCCATTCAGAGGTTTTTTTTTTAATATCTTACAATACATTATATTAATAATACAGATATGTCCAAAATTATAGCAAATACATGTCACCAAACATAACTGAAAAACATATAGAAATATATGTTCGTACAAAATAAGTAGTTGATTTCCACTGATGCCAAATCTGCTAGCTTACTGTCTGCTACTATCTGAAAAAGGGTAAAAACTACAGAATGAGCTAAAAAGCTCAGTGTGCTCCATACAGTATATAAGAAAAATATACAGATAAAATCTTTCAATGAAATCGGTTTATGCAACATGTTTTTTTTTAAACATGAACACTACCCCCATCCGTTCACATCATAGTTGTGTAGGTTCCCCAGAACCATACACCCAACCGCACATGCCATTTAGACCCTGAGCACAAAGCCGAGAAGTCTGCAGAAAATCTTCCTTCAACAATACCCCCCCAAATGACAATGAATGTATTCAATTGAAAACAATGATTAATCACTTAAAACATAACAAATATTTCATACTTAGAAACCATATGCAAAAATACGGAAATCAAAATTCAAATCAATAATTCAGATATCAGATAAGCAGATCTCAGAAATCGGTATGAAATACCTTAATTCAGAAATTATATCAGAATATACAGCAAATCAAATATCAAATACTCGGTATTCAGATAAATTATTTAAATCAGTAATATAATACTGTTAGGAAACACACCTGTAACAGTATGAGAAATCAAATAGGGAAGCCTATTACTAGGTCTGTCGATCACGTTCTGCTGCAGCGCTAGATCCTACGAATTGGAAAAATCCATATTGGAATCCTAATATAAATAATCTAAATATTATTTAAATAATATACGGAAACCTACGGGTAATTCTCGTAGTACGCGGTTCAGGCTGATCTAACGAACGGATAATACAGGACCTAATTGATCCTTGCTCAGGTGAAACACGAGTACTTTCATAAAATATTTTATTGAATAAATCCTTGACCAAATCTCATTTAAATAATCAAAATATTAAAATATTAAGCCTTTTGGGTTTACAAGCTCGATTTGGGAATTTCGAGTCAGAATTTGGCAAAACGGACTTCGGAATCAAATTCAGGACGTCGAAAAATATAAAGTATGACCTTCCGAAATTTTGAATTCTTGGTCAAAATTAAAGTCAACGGGGTTGACTGACGATTTGGAGACTTTCGGGTTTGAATTTAGCAAAACGGACCCCAAAAACGGATTCGAGACGTCGAAAACTATCAGGATAGGTATTCTTGGTCGAAAACAAAGGTCGTTTAATAGCTGGTCAAAGCCAGTCAAAGTTTTGGTCAAGGGAGGTCAACAAACTATCAAACATTTTACACAAATAGCACTTTTTTTTAATAATTACCAAAATAGCACCCTTTTCGAATTAATTCCCAAAATGCACCAATTTGAATTAATTCCCAGAAT